GCTGAGCCACTGTAAGTAGTTTGATTCTCTGAACCCCATTGAACTCCTAAATAAAGGATAAAAGAATAAGCTGTTTCTCCTACCAGCTACTCAAATATCACATTTTAGTTCTGGCTGTCGTCAAGAAAGAGCCAACCAACCTACATTATCTGACAAGTGTTTGCCATTTCAAAATTTCACAAAAGGCATTTACAATTTTGTAAATCTACACACTTATCCCAACTTTACTTCTCTGAATATCCTGACCTAACCATATGTATATCGCTCCTAAAGAGCTTGGCTGAAGTGGCTGACTTAACTGTATCTCTATGACTGGAGACATGTTGCACACTTGGACACAACAAAAGGGCTTCCAGACAATGGTTTAGTTTAAAATTAATTTCCTTTACTGTTCTTTCCTTCTTTCTGGAAATGCAGAAAACAACGGCACATCCAGCCTAAACGTGGGACTGCACACTGCAAGGCTGTCTGCCTGGCTGGTAATCATGTGATGACTGTGTAATATTCTGTCAACACTCAACAAACAGGTGGCTCGCAACGACTGATTTCCCTATTAGCTAAGTGAAGCAGTTCTTCTAAAACGAACCTTCTCTCAATTTATCCTGCAAACTCCGATATAAATCTTCATTTCTGCATTAGCTCCATAGTTCATTACTCTTTACACTCACTATACATCAAGTTTCTACTTTAATACATCTTTCTACTTGCTGTTGCTGCACCTTGGAAATAACAAAAACACAAGCAATATTGACCTATTACCTGGCGCCAAAGAAAATTAAAGTTAACAATATTAAACTATGTGTATATATTTAGAAAATGAATCAACTGAATACTGAAATGATAAATCAGATAAAATGATTTTTTGTAATTACACGCAAGGTGAAGAACTTGAGGCATTATGAGACTTGACCGTGCGTATGCATGCCAAACTACTGTCAACTCTACATCACCCAGGACTGACGCACACACATATCAACAACCTCACAAAAGCCTCCACCAAAGCCACACAATGATTGAGTTTTTTGATAAAATAATGACACACCCGAGAAACAGAGAGAACGAGCGGTCTTGTGTTCTCAGCTCTGTTCCTCTGTGTTGCTGTTTTGAGGCTCCAACAAGGAACTCCAACACACCAAAAGGGAAAGTGCTGTGGGCTTCTGAGCGCCAACGGGTCTGCTTCCACCTTTGATTTCTCGTCAATCAACCTCATCAGCCTTTCCCGCCTGGACCCAAACACTCACAACCGTCTTCCTCTGCATCACAAACACACACACGCTTCAAAATTCCCTCAAACAAAAACACATCTCTCATGCCTCTCGTGTGTTTTCTATTTCTCTCTGTCTGCCTATTCACTCACACACAACACACACACACCCTTGGATACAAACTCATTCCCCATGCTGTGTCTCTTCTCTTTCTCTCTCTCTTCTCCTGCCGACACACACACACACCACACACACACACACACACACCATCACACACCACACACACACACACACACCAACATCACACTGTGTACACACAGCTGTGGTACAACGTGAGCCATGAGCTGGGGCAGCTCACGAAGACAGTGAGAGTGGTGAGTGTTATTGTTTTGCCTCCTGCCTCTGCAATCTCTTCCCCTCTGTGATGGATAGATGGCTCTTTCAGCCAATCATGTCAGTGTCAGTGGGAGACACTGCTGGCTTGTGTCTATGCCACAGAACACTTTTTAAAGGATAATGGCTGCACGATCCGTCTAAGTTTTTGTCTTGCCAACAAATTTAATGAAAAAACCAAAACCAATAATGAACTTGCTTATACGAACCCATACAGAAATGTAATATATGACATATATGTCCCTAGAGAGTGATGTCATATATTTCACCTACAAGGGGATGTTATTATCATAATATATATATATATATATAGTTTAAATATAAGTTTATAACATATATGACATACCCATAGTAAAATTTGCATATGTACATATATTAAGATATATATATATGATATCGATAATACTTATATAAGAGTTATATATATGCCTAGTACTAAGCATGGAAGTGTGTGATATTAGACTGCCAGGTATATGATGACCGCACGTTTCATTTCATTCTTACCTTTATTGTATGTGACCATCATGTTGTGATGTTTAACAACTCACTAGCCTGCTTATATTGTATCGTAGTTTACTCGAACCTCAGTTATCAAAATAGACTAATCTTCCTCATTAATTTCTAATTCATATTTAAACATGTCATTGATGAGTCTTAGACAGTAATAATATTGATTTGGATATCATGATTGACAGAGTTCATATAAACAACATACCTATAAACATTCTATATGTTTATAGATGTTTTTCTTATTCATTTTAAACATGTCTCTTCCCATTCTGGAAAGTAAGTGTCTTTTGGACCCTACTGTTTATAACATCAACATATGTTGACAGGCTTTGGGATGGATATATATTTATGTAACATATGTCTACAATATAAGCATGCATACATAACATACAGTACATTTGTATGTGCTAGACAGATATTTCAATATATGAACTAGTTATAATTTCTAATAGGTTTCATAAATACTTTTTACACGTTTTTATTGTATGTACATATATTTTTTTTCTGGAAATTAAATGAATGAACATATTACATTTCCGTATGGGAAGTACTGTTTGTGCAGTCAAAGCCTGCTGATACAGCTACTTCTCTGTAAACCTTCTCCAGAGACTATAAAAACGCATAAATGAGTCATACCATTGCACTGTATTGCATTATCAAACTAAAACTAAGCGCATCTGCAAGGTCACTAATAATCCTCCTTCTGACCAACATTAGTAGGTTAACGTTGAACCAGGAGACGAGTCTGTAAAATGTGAAGGATGTTTGCGTTTCTTGCCCGTTTAGACTTATTTTTAGGCACGTTACCACACACCCAGATCTCAGCAATCAATTCGGTGAGTTCAATGTAATTGAACCAGATGTATGTGTGTGTTGTAATAAACCTGAATCCTGATTCCTTTAAGGGTGTCTGAAACTAGTCCCCAACAAATGCACTGTTTTACTATTCACTAAATCCCGCTTGAGTATGATTTGCTTTTATGAAATTATTTATCCTTTCTAGAAAATGAAACGATGTATTTATGACATGTTTTTAAAGATTTATGTCGTCAGTAGAAAACCAATCATATTTGGGCTGAGTAGCACAGTAGTGAAGTCGGTAAATGTTGAGTGACACACTAACACATTGTTGGTTTTGGTCTCTTCGTGGGATTTGTTGACAATAAGAGAAATCGGATATTAATGGGCTTATCCTTTAAAGCCCCAGCTATTTCATCTCTCTTCCTGTTTCCTCGTTATTCGTCTTCACTTTCCGTTGTGTTAGATTGCGCCTTCTCTTTCTCTTCCGGATATCCATTGCCTCGTACGCTCTCTCTCCTCCTGTCTGTCCGACCTCATTAATCTTAGAGCCTCTCTGTCTCTCGTCCGTGCCCTCTCTCTCTCCGCCACTTTCTCTAATAGCCTGGTTTTCTCTCTCAGATGCCTCTTCATCTCTCTTTCTCTCTTCTTCCTCCTCTCTCCTTTTGACTTTGCTTATTTTCAAAACGTTTGGTTCCCTCCACTCCTTTACCTGCCTTTCTTTCCTTTAGTATCATCCCCTCTTTTCTAATTTCTCCCCAACACAAACGCCCCTTGCTTTTTATTTCTCTCATACCTCCTCTCTCCTTTTTGCTCTGCCTGGTCTTATCTCCTTCCCCTCCTGTCATCACTCTCTCTCTCTCTCTCTCTCTCTGTCCCTTCACCTCACACAGCCCGACTTGGCAGCCCTGCCCAATAAATAAGACGGGGACATCTCTCCTGTGGCATCCAATTGTGGCACTCCACCTCTATCTGCCCGTCTGCCCTGAGAAAATTCAGCACCTCATAAGTCACCTCAGCAAATGCTGCTCCTCAAAAGCAATGACCACGGCTTTTGTCAAGGAGACGCTCGTCACCTTGTCGTGCCAACGAAGCACCGTTGCAAGTCTGATGCCTCTTGTCACATTAGCAACACAATGTAACCAGCATGTTCATAAGTAACACATGTGCAACAAGTATGAACACAGGCTTTGTGTTGTGTTTGGGATGCGCAGCATGTTGTTATGCTACACTTTGTATGCGAGAGTTGAGAGACAAATTATGCAAATATTTCTTTAATATGGAAAAGAGTTGGGATGCTGCTTACGTACTTATGTTACATGTGGTAATGATGACAGATCTGCAGGAGTCTATATGTTCAGAGGATCTTTTCTGTCGTACAGATCATAACTTTTGTTAGTTGTCCATATTCTGGGGAATATTCGCTTTCTGGCAGAGGGATGGATGACGAGATTGATACCACGCTCATATCTGTCCGTTAAATATCGGATAAGAAGTGCAACTTCCAGGAGTCTATACTGGTTGCTTGGCAACTACTTAGAGTCAATAAATAATCTGACACAGAAAAATGGCAAATTGATGCTTTTACACTTCAGTTTTTGTACACAACAAAGATATAAGTTTGCTTTAGAAGTGCTGCTGGGTGGATTTTGCTACCATTGGACAGAGCCAGGGGTTTCTCCCTGTTTCCAGTCTTTGTGCCAAGCTAAGCTAACCGCCTGCTGGCCACTGCTTCCTATTGACTGTACACACATGAGAGCGGGATCAATCTTCTCATCCAACTCTTGGCAAGACAGCAAATAACAGTGTTTCCCAAAATGTCAAACTACTCCTTTAAGGTCACCATTTCATTACAGCATCTGTTACATTTTGCTGATGTCATAAATCTTTGCTTGCAGAAAAATTAAACAATCCAGATGAAAAATTGGTGCAGTCTATGAGCTGCTTTCAGCCCCTTCATCTCCGTGTCTGTGTGTGCAGTGAGCTTCATACAGCATGGGGATGGACTAAGAGCTGGGTGGTGTACTGAATCAGGTAAGGCCTGATTTTTATGATGTTGTACAGTGCAAAGATTCACGGCCATCTGACGGATACAACATAGTCAGAGAAGAAGAGCTGATGATGGAGAGACGGGATGGTTGGGATGACTGGGAGTTGAGTCTTAGAGAGGTTTACTTGAAGGTGTCGTGGTCCCGGTCAAGGCTCCAGGTGGGTTCCCTTTTTTTTTTTTCCCACTGTTTTCCCCTTTTCTTGTGTATCTTCTTGTCTGTCTGTCTGTCTGTCTGTCTGTCTGTCTGTCTGTCTGTCTCTCTCTGTGTGCTTGTGTATCTCCCTCAGCTCCACTCTACTCCTCCTCCTGCCTGCTGCAGCCAGCACACCTACATTCCATCATCTCATCGGCCCTGCAGTGCTTCAACCCCAGATTTCCAGTCAGTCTTCTTCGTGGTATACGCCGAGGCCTTCTAGTTCATACTTGTTTGCTTCCTTGCGTTTTTGACTTCAGTCCGACTATTGTCTCCCTGTGCCTCAGGATAATTCCCCTGGTGTCCGCCTGCCAGGGCTCGTGTTCCATCCTGCTCTTCTCGGCGGTGGATCCAGCACTCTCAGCGCCTGCCTGCCCCTCTGCCTCCACAGCGGCCCAGCAGCCTCCATCCCAGAACCTCAGCTCCGCCATTCCTCACCTGCCTACCAGTCTTCATCCAACCCAAATCAACCAAGCCGCGCTTCACAGTAAAATCTAGTGGGAGCATTTATGACAGGTATAGCTGGCAGACTATGTGGTTGCTGGCTGTGTCTTTGCACACGTTTTACAGAACAAATGTGATCAAGCCATCTCTGAGCTAAATGTAATAAACAGTATTTCAGCGTGGTAATTTTTTTTTTTACTCAAACAAGTGACACTAGACTTTTGGTTTGTTTGTCACTTGCTTCTTCCGTTATTATAGTGAGAGTTCAGGCTATGTATCAAAGCCAGAGGCATGCTGGGAGCCTTTTTTGATACTCCCGTTTGTCTGTACTCTGTGGGATAAAACTATATTTTACTTGAGATATAGGAAATATTTCATCTCCACTCACCGTCATCGCTGTTGTCATCCACCAAGATGATGTCTTTGAGCAAGTGTGCCGGCGTGTGATTGACAGCTGAGTGGACTGAGCGCAGGATCACGGACAGAGCCTCGTTGACGAAGATGAAGATGAGGGAGATCTGGGGGAGGTCCCTCGGGTAGCTGACCTTTCTGCATCTGCAGAGAGACACGCAAACACACCACAGCAGCTCTAAAATAAAAACCTTTTCATGTGTACCTGTGAAGCGTGCTGCATTCTGGGGCTTTGCACGCTTCACTTGTTCGCCATCATCGCTGTAAAAGACCAAACTGCCTCCACGGAGCCGCTGACACATCTTGTTTGATGAAGCTGAAAGGCCGCAACCACGTGCTGCTTCCTGTTCAACTATAATCGCATGGATTATTTTCCCTCCAAATTGGCCTATTCACAGAGCGTCTGCTGCAGACAGGAGGCCTATTTTTACTGCTGGTTTGTTTAAACCGCTCTGATGAGGAGGAAATGGGCAGGGTGAGGCTTTGGCTCTAAGTTTAGTAAGAGTAAGAGAGAAAACACCTTCCTTGTCTCCTTTTTTTGGTCTTCTTTCCTTTTATCAACAATCTTATTTCCATGGGAAATGAAATGTTAATTATGAGAAATACTATAATTAATCCAGCGATTTTAATGAAAATTCATGAGGTCAGATGATGCTTCTTTGGCAGGAAACAGATGCCAACATAGCTGTAAATAGATTAAACATGAAGAGCAGTGATATTTGCCACCAAATGAAGTTTTTTATTCGACTGTTTCAAGTGATTTGATAGGAAACCCCTGAGGTTTTAGAAACCTAACTTTTCACATGAAGGAGACTCTATATCTTACAAACATAACGATGGTAATTTGTGTGTTAAAAATGTGTTTCAAAACGACACTTATTTCACTTTTTGGGACAGAAGAATAAACAGTTGCAGAAAAAAGGCGCCGCGTTTGAAGAAGCGCCCCAAGTGAAAGCAGGCAGCAGCGCCACAGTGTGAAGGGAGCGTATCAAAAACCCCTCTAGGAGTCTGCAGAGAAACCCACCCGGCAGATACATATCAGAGTGATATAGGGAATACATGTACATAATGTACAAGGCAAGGATTGCCACAGCAATTATGGTAATGAGTAAGAACAGGAGGAGGCACGGATGGTGCAAATCAGGGCAACCAGTAACAGCAGTAGCATGTAGAAGAGAGCAGCATGAATGATTACAAGGTGTGAGAGTGTGAACATTTTCACAGTTCAAGTCACATCCTCATTATTAATCTCACTGTAAGAGTCAGCTCGTCAGCTGAAGCATCATTAGACTTGGACAAAACAATAATATTCCTTAAAAGAGCAAATTTAGAGTACATCCTAAAAGCTACAGTGTTTTTTCTCTTATACTTAGGGTTTAACATTTGATCTTTGTGTCTCTTCATCTCTCGGTCGCTCGCTCTCCCTTTCTCTGATTTCAACACCACCTCTGGCTCTGCAGTGTAAAGGGACCTTCAGCCAAACACAGCAGACTCCTCAGACTCCAGTTTACATGCTGCTGCTAAGCTTGAGGATATCACACCCCAACACGCTTCACACGCCACTTTGATCCCAGCAACATAAAAGACCCCCCGAGTGACAAATGAGAGCAGTGGATTCTGATTCCTCCACCCCACCATCCCCTAAAACACACACACACACACACACATACACAAACACACACAGCTGGTGGCAGCCATGGGTCGAGGGGTTTCTCATAATCACTGACTTTCAAATAGAGGGGCTGTTACTTGCTTAACCAGCGACGTGGGACAGACACGCGCTCTTTCAAGGAGCATTTATGGAGAAAACCTGCAACATGCGTGGAGATACACACTACAATGCACAGAGCTACCTGGAGGAGCAGTGTGTGTGTGTGTGTGTGTGTGTGTGTGTGTGTATGTACAGTTGGACCTCTGTGTCCATGCACACATGCCTGCAGATCAATAGCCAGCCGGATAGTGCAACTTCATCAAATATGAGAGTAAAAGGCAGCGAGAGAGAGAGAGAGAGAGAAAGAGAGAGAGAGATTAAAAGGAACAGGTGAAGTCCCTTAAAAAACTGCAAAAATTGATGCATTGAATGCAGTGAAAAGGGTTACCAAACCAAATTTGTGCAACTCAGCGTGCAAGTTTTGGACTTTTATATAGAAGATGCATGCTCATGCGCTCATCCCAGTGTTTAATGGCAAAAGAGAAAATTTAATAAATATAAAAAAACATCTGTCTATCTATCTATCTATCTATCTATCTATCTATCTATCTATCTGTCTGTCTACCTATCTATCTATATATCTATCTATCTATCTAAACACACAGTATATAGTATACAGTTTATAGCTGGCCTGAGTGAATCAGCAGAGCCATCAGGTTGTAATGGCTGTGTTTTACACTTGTGTGAATGTGCTTGGACGTGACTTGTCCACTGATTGCCACACAGCTGTGAATGATCCAGTTATTGTGAAGCTGAATGAAGCAGCTGATGCCAATCAGCTAATGCAAGTTGGACTTCGGTGCTCCGCATCAGCCATCACTCCGCTCCATTTCAATTACTCATCAGCAACATGTCTATTCATAAAAAGCGTCCTGGTTTGTCTGGTGAATGTACAGAACACACTGTGAACGGTTGAAAACTGTAAGCTGTGCACCTTTAGCACCATAAAAATTAAAACTCCTTTCATCTCCATTGTATTGGGCGGAGGCAGACACCAATTAGACAGAGTTCATCTTGAAACCAGGACTATGTGTGATTAAATACCACTAGGGGAACATTATTCAGCACCAACCTAGAAAGTGAAATTTGAAGTTTCTCCAACTCACTTGCTGGGCCGGTGGTCCGGTATGGTCCGATCCAGAGAGATTCTGTCACTCAGGTAGGCGTTGTAGCCGTACTTCTCCCTCAGGAATTTAGCATCGCTCTCCTCAGCTGGAGACAGCGTGGCAGGGAGGCCGCCTTTCCCCCGACCCCCGAAGCCCTCAATCAGGCCCAGAGATTTGGACAGACCTGGGCGAGGCAAACAAGGGAAAATTACATGTCAGGATCCTTTAGTCTGGCTGAGTCACTCTCCTCTAAGTAACGCACTCTGTGGCTCACAGCTAATAGCCTGCTTCCTCATCCTCATCACAGCGCCAACCTCACATGAATGCACAGTGTGTAGTCAGCAGCTGTCAAAACTGTGAACATGTGACAAATGTTGGCACATATTCACGCAAAACACCCACAGTATACATACATACATTTTAAAATCAGGGATGTGTAAAATAGGCCTGGTCTGGGGCTTCCTGCTCTAAATGAGGTCAGCAGTTCCTGTGTACCCAAGTGATGAAAAACAAGCTTAATGAAATCCTTTGTTTGATGATGAAAGTGAAAAACCTTTCCATTTTAAGGCTGCAAGCTGTTAATGAAGCTTCAAGGCGTTCACTGTTTCAAATTAGGGATAAAATAAGACTCTTCTCAGTGTGACTTGGTGTATTTGTGGGTGGCAGAGTGATTAAAGTGACTATCCTTCAATGTGACAAGCTGTGCTCAAGCCTCCGCGTTGGCAAACATCCTGCTGAAGTGTCCTGAAGGCACTGAATCCCAAAAAGCGTCTGCTCTGTAGTCGACCCTGACCTCTGACCTCTGAGCTCCCCCGGAGGGGAGAAAACATTGCACATAAAGTACCACAGTACTTGAATGGAAATTCAGTCAACTGCAAAAAACATTACTAATGGACAGCAAAGCAGAGTTCAAACTGTGGTCTTTTGTTCATAAATGTTGGATAACCTTGCAGTAAAAAGAGCAGCTTAATCTATCTACATCAGCCATTTAAATAGGCTACAGATTTGACACTTGATTGTCTTAATGCAAATTAATTAACATTTTATTGTTGATCTTGGCTACCTGGCTGCAGAGGCTGGCACAGCTCTGTTCTTGATAGTTGGTGACAGTTTCTTCAAAGGCCAGGGAAGTGGATTTGTAGCACAGTGCATTATCTTGTCAAAGTGAAATAATGTGACAGGTGTCTGCACAGAGTGAGCGGCTCTGTGAGAGCAGTGAGACAATAGACAATATTAAGGGAGCCTCAGTCACTTCTTCCTCACATTTTCAGGTCAGGGCCCCAAGAGAAAGTCAGGGGAAAGTCAGGCAGCATTGACTTTTCCTTCTGTTTCAGATTCCTTAGGGGGAAATCAGGTTGACATGTTATTCCAGTTTAAATGTTACTCTGCACTTTACCGTTTAACTGCCTGTACACCACGTCCTCCAGCGAGCTCAGCCTCTTCAGCAGCACCTCATGGCTGATGCTGGGCCCCTGCCCCGTCCCGTTACCCCGGGGCCTCTTCCCGTCAGCCGGAGCCTCCGGACCGGCGGCTTGGACGCTGCGTGTGTTGCACTTGGCCCAAAAAGTCATGAACCCGGCAACAGCAAGCACGTTCAGCACCAGTAAGACCCTCCATCTTCTGAACACAAAAGCCATTAAAAAGTCACCGACGTCCGGGGCCTCAAGTGGTGGTGATGGTGGTGGTGGTGGTGGCGGGGTGAGAAGGGAGGAGGAGGAGGAGGAGGAGGAGGAGGAGGGGGGTGGCAGTCTCCGGAGAAGCCGTACGTGTCACAGATTCAGGGCTCCCTCGGCTCGCGATGTGCGGAAAGCTGCAGGGATAATTCAGCAACCGGGACCTTAAAAAATAAACAGAAAAGAGCCACAGAGATGTTACTGCAATGTTGAGCCCTTATACTGATCTGGTGTCATAAATCTGCTCTCTTACCATTTGGCACCGGGGTTATTTTAGGTTGCATCCCCCTTCTGAGAAAATTCGGGGCGCCTGGCCATCGGCTTTCATCCGTGTCAGCGCCACTTCTCGCCTGATTTTAAGATCATGCACAGGAGATGTAAAACAAAGACCCCAGCATATGTTGAGCTTGAGGGACAGATACTCTTAAATAATTGAACAGAGAGGAGATTATCAAGTCTGTCTTTTTTTTTTTTTTTTTTCCCTCCTTTGCGTCTAACAGAAGTCGGCAGTGATGCGACTGAGGAGCCCTGCGCGCAGAGGAAAAAAAAAAAAAGAAAAATCCTCGCAGATGCTCAGGGAAAACCTTCTAAACGTTGTCAACCTTCCTGCTCCCTGAAAGCCTGCTCTCACGTCGTCTTCCTCCCCGTCACACGTTGTAATAATCACAGTGAGATTCAGTTGAGGAGGCTGCGCGGATTACGAGCAGACAGCGGCGGTACTAGAGATGCAGCGTCCTCCGGTGAAGGTGGAGAGATGCTCCGGGAACGCAGCGGCAGCAGTAAAGAAAAGACGTCCCGATGCCTCGTTTTCCTTCGCGTTTTCTCTCATTCTGTCAACAGCGTTTTTCCTGTTATTCTGCACGCCCCTCTTGCTTGTTGTGCCCTGTTGTTTCCTCTTGTTCTCCCTATAACGTACACACGGCGCTTCACGAGAGCGCGGGGAAAAACGTGGAGTGGAGCCCGGCGACGTTTCACTCAGCGGCGGGTCAGGGGTGGTGGGTGGGTGGGGATGTGGGTGGGGTGTCTTCTCACTGGCACCCAATTATCTACAATTACAGAACATTAGTACTTCATAGTGGTTCCTGCTGGTGGGCTACTCGGGTCCAGTAGGAATGATAGGATGATTTTTTATTCCATTGGCTAAAATGAATTTCATAGTTAATTTAACTGTTATTCAACCATATCAGTCAGCACAGTGGGATGATATTTCTAACTGACTATGCTGTGCAGAAATGCAATTAACCTTACAAAGCAGGAACAGACATTAACCCAATACTGCATTAAAGGTCCCATATTGTATAAAGTTAGATGTCCATGAATAAAGCAGGTCTAGGTTCTATATTAATACTGTGAAAGTACCAAAGTGCTCAGTCCACAGAGAAATGCACACAGCCTGTATTCAGAAACTGAGCCTTAAAACCAGCCGTCAGGACTTCTTTGTAACTTTGTGATGTCACAACGAAGCAGTCACTGCCCTCAGCCATGCCCCATGCCTGACCCACCTGGACCCACCACCCAACCTTGCAGGATTTGGTTTCTCTGAGTGTTTACCTTAAATCTGCTATATTTTTATTCTGTCACTTAGAAGCCAGCCAATCAGAAGAGAGGCTCAGAGCCTTCTCTCTTCTGATTGGCTCACCGACCTGTTGTTACTAGAGCTCCAGAGAGAAGCCTGAGAGAGGAGATGTAAAACTACATTGAGATGGTTTTTGGTTCTTAAAACCACAAATATATCTTCTCATCAAACTCCCAATAAAACACCCCAAAAGTGAAAAATGTGGGACCCTAAAATCTGTCCTCTGAAATGGTGTTCCTTTGCATATGTAGAATTCTCCTCAGATTCACCTGCAGGGAAAAATTTAACAGATCTATGGCAGCCAGAGGTTTCTCTTTGTCCCCTAAGGGCATGTTACTTTCTCAGTGGTGGCAACACCACAATATAAAAATACTCAATTACAATCTTAATATTTAAGCACAGCATAAAGGTATGAACAGCAAAATATATGTATACTCATTGTGAAGAAGGGAAGTGTTTAAGTATTAATGCATTAAAATGTACGCTGCATTTTAATGCTGTATAACTGCAGGTGCTGCTTAACTAATATACTATGCTGAGTAGTTCCAGATATATGCATAATGTTTTATGTGTCTTTGGACCAAAGGGTTTAGAGGGAATTGGTAAATCGTCTGCTTTAGCAGAGGTTGCTTCTACAAGCTATAAACTTAGTCGTTCTTTCACCAGTGAAGATACATCCTTGTAAACTGAGCTCCCACTGCTCCATTACTGATTGCAATTGGTGATGAAAGGAATTGTTGCAGGAGTTTTCTACAGGCAAAGAGAGGAGTTTTATTCTGTGGCGTCAGAGACAAAAGGAAAATGTGTTGAAATGTGCAATGTGGATTTTGGTTTTTATGTGTCTTTAGTCTGTTCTTCATGTAGGCCCCTGTACTCCATTTTTGAATGTGAAAAGACTTGATGTATAGATCTATAGTGGTAGTATAGGTGTAGTGTTGAACTGATGTGGTAAAACACTTTACAGTACTTCAATTCACAGTTTTTAAAATGTTTGAGTTTGTGTAGAAATGGGTCACCCAGATAGCTGAGATGAATCAAGGAGCTCTGTAACTCTGCAGCTTACTGAGAGACATGCCAGCTCGGATCTGCAGGCAACCCAGGAGGAGAGAGACAGTTTGAGTGTGTGTGTGTGTGTGTGTGTGTGTGTGTGAGAGAGAGAGAGAGAGAGAGAGAGAGAAAGACTGAGAGAAATAGAGGTATAGTGAGATCAAAACCGGTGCTAGATAGTGTGAAAATGAATCAAGAGACAAACAGAAAGAAACATCAAGGAAGAAGAAGAAGAAGAGAGAGTGCATCAGTGAGACGCACACAAGGAGGCAGAGACACAGAGCGGAAAGGGGAAAAGAGTTTTAGAAAAAGCGGGAGTGGAGTGCAGACACTGGGGAGGAATCAAAATTCAAAAGGAGAAAAAATTCCTAAAGCAGTAGAGAGAGACACGCTGAGATGCAGCAGAGTACAAAAGAAAAACGTAAGAGGGGGAGATTACGTGACAGCAGCACAGGATATAACCCAGTAAAAAAGACGTGTAAGAGCAGATTTGACTTGATATTTGTGGAAGGGGTGAACATGATCGTCTCAAGTACTCTTGTCAACCCCCTCAAGCTGCTGTAGAGGAGGTAGTCAAGTGGTGGACAGTTGATGTTTGAAACAGGCGAGCTGAACTAAACTCAAAGGCTGGCTGTGCTCTGCGGACGCAATCAATTTAATGTTTGTGTGTCTGTCAGTGTTTACATTTGCTTTATCTATGCAACCGTCTCGAGTGAGCGAGTGAGCGAGTGTGCACCGCGTTCGTCTGTGAAAAAATGCAGATCCATAGAGGTTCTTACAGAGCAGTTATTATACAACACACACACAAGGTGAAAAAGAGATGAAAATGGAGAGATGGAGGTTCTCAAAAACTGAACTCAGCTAATATTTAAGAACGTTTCAAAGGCAGAGATAGCTAGGCCAATAAACCGGCCAGGTCAATATGTCAGCACATGGTAACTTATTGCAGACATACTGGTATCACTGCATGCTGACCGATAAGTAACAAGTAACTCAAGAACAAAAATGACCAAGTAAGTTTGAGGTAAAGAGCACTTGTTGATATTTCAACTTGCTAGTGCTAATGTCACAAGTAAAAAGAAAAAACTAAGGGATATATGTAGGTTATTTTAATGTAATCTGATTATGTTAAAAATGACTATTCCCAGATAAATATAAATAAATATGAATCTATCAATATTGGCCTCAAAACTCCAGTATTGATCTGGTGATGAAACTGAAACGTGCATTGCTGATGCATGGCACATTACTGAGCTGTATATTTGTACAGCATACTGTACATATTTATTATGGGCTTAATTTTTGGCTCAATTTTTGGCTCAGACAAAAATTTGACTTTCTATTTTATTCTAGTTGATCATTTGTTATTGTATTTTGTTCCCTACCAACTGTTCGTCCTTGAGTATTCACGTCTCCTTTGTTTTATCTGGGCCACATGTCAAAGTGTCAAGAGCAAAATAGACCCAAGTGATCTATGTGTAAGAAAGAAAGATATGTCACTTTAAACAAAATGTCAAACAAATGCAATGTGTTGTGTTGTGTTATCAATCTATATCGAGATATACGGTAAATTCACATATTATTACATATTATTGACACTTGGTCTTTTCATGATCAACGACTGGTTTCCACTAAATCTATATTGAATTGAGGGTCTAAGGACAGTGGGTGTTGTATTCTGTACAGACTATATTGATATTGGACTATATACATAAAACTGACAATCACAAAGAAGAAGGGATTAAATAAACAGAAATAAACAAGTTAGAAGCTTTGAGATGACTAATATTTGTTTTGCACAAAATGGGCTGCAGCTCAATTCTGGGAAAAGAGAGCGAGGGAGAGAGATGAGTCAGAGATATGAGAGAGGAATATCTGATATAAGTATTGAGGCTGATGGACGGATGAAGGAATGGATGTTCAGACTGTAATGCTTTTTTCTTATTCTCTACTGTTTGTGTTCAGTGTTGCAATTTTAGCCACAGAATCCCCACCTTTGCTACTCCTCTGATGACAGATGAGGTGGATAAGATTGTTTAGTGACTCTGAAGGACTGTATACCGCTGCAAAATAAAAACACTTTTCATAAAGCACTCTAAATAACTGCATATTTGTTGCAGTGGCATCTTAAGCAACAAGGTTAATGACTGCTTGTTTTGTCCCACAGTCTGTAATGCAAAATATGATTCATACTTGTCACCTTGAGCCACCTACACATTAAAGACCATTTGTAATAAAATATTAAATTAACATTTTAGCAATGGACCATCATCAAGGACACAAAATGCAAACGTAGGACTCACAGTGAACTAAAAACAACCAGTTTTCTCTGGGTGAAAACTGTAATCAAAGACAACCAATAAACAGAAACAATGGCCTGTGCAACACAGGGTTTACACTTATCTTTTGTAAGTTGTAATAATGATGGTCCAGATCCAGATTCAATGGTGTAAACCCTTTTTTACTGTTGAACCCTGTAAGTTAGGACAACTTGCACCTTTATTGCCGTTATTGGTCCAGGGAGTTTGGTTATTGTGGCTGATTAGAACAGAGCTCTAATCAACCAGAGTAACTGAAAATACCTACGTGGGTGTGCAAGGTCCTTTGATTGTGTAACAGGAAGTTCCATGAAGTTCCGCTACGGCGCGGGGAAGAACAGGCAGAGTGGGGAACAAAGTCGGCAGGATAATTATAAGTGGGAGGGTGAGGGTGGGCTGGGAGTGATGGGAGGCTTTCATGAGATTATCCTATAAATAGTGTGGCAAGTTTCTTTAGTCATCAACGCCAGCATGCAACTCTGGCACACAAGTGATAGAACTGTTCTAAAAATTAGCCCTGGGCTTATACCTCTGCACAAGTTAATACCATTCTCCATGAGACTTTAGGAGTTGCTGAGCAGGATTTGAGTGTGATGAAGTTAATCACTGCACTGTGGGGAGAGAAAAAAGTGATCCAAAACTCTGGCTCTGTCTTTTACTAAAAGCTTGTTTCGTTTATGCTATGGTAAATTTATCGGCCCCATGAGAGTCTATTGTGATCTGAGCTGGCTTTGGCAGAAGCAAAGACAAATTGACCTTCACGTTGGATTGAGTGGAGGGTGTCTTTTTTTTTTTTTCTTTTTTTCTAGGGATCAGTGGGTATGCAGCACATGGCAGCGGGGTGACACGTCTCTGCTAAGCTCAGTCGGAGAGCCGAGGGGTATTTTAGGTCATTCTTTTTTCAGCCCACCTACATGTCCCTGTCTGAAATAAAGCCCTGTCATGGTGTGTTTGGTTGCCAGCGGCTTCAAAGTTACTGTGTTGAAAAGCTGACATTCTAATCAAACATCATAACCTTAACAACTCTGACAAATTGCGGCTCACTGTACAGTTCTCTATAACATGGCCTTTAATGCCCTTTAAGAAGGGGAAAACATTTCTTCTGGGCGCACAGTGGCATATTTCTCTAACTACTGGCAACAGTCAATGACAGGGCTGCACCAGTGTGTTGCAAGTTTTACCGCTTTACTTCCTTGCATCACACTCATTTTGTTCTTGCAGCCATGTCACCTGGCATAGAAGTGACACTCCACTGAGATTGTCACTTCTATTGGTGAACCAGTTGAAATGGTTCACTCTAATGGCAGGTTTCAGTCCATCAGAGGACAACAGCTTCAGATACGGTACGCAGCCAGGACTCAGAGGCTTTCTCAAGGACATATACACAGACCTGATGCCTGTCAGTTGGGCTTCAGCCAGAATCCTCTGGTTGATGGGTGACTCTATTGAGCTTTCTTGCCTCCCTTAATGGTCAACTCAACTCAGCCTCCATGTGTAAACCAGGAAAAGGGCGTTTCTCACAGTTTTGTCTCTAATGCTGAGTGACAGTGTCACAGCAGGCGGAACTCTTCACAGAACCAATTAGTCGGATCTATTTCCAGAAGAGATGTGATTTGAGATGACGAACTGAGATACAACTTCCCTGACTCGCACAGACACAGGAAAAGACATAAAAGCACCAACGTGGCAAGATACACAGCCATGCTAGAGACACACGGAGACTGCAACGGCAGCATCTGCTGTGCGGTGTGTGTCATCCCTGTCCCCGTCCTGTCATCCTTCTGTCATTCTTCAGCTCCTCTTCATGTTCTGCAAGGGCCCTGTGCTCCGCTCAGCTCCCACACGCACCATGCTACGCAAACTGTCAAACCCATCTGATGTTGGAACAGTTACACATCCACCTACTGAGACATTGAGTCCGGATATTTAACACACAACCTTTTCTCCCCTTCTCCCCACTTGAGACGCCACCTCGGAGACTGGGACGTACAGTTTGATCATGTGGGATGGTTTTAGACCCACGAGGGCTGATGTGTGGCTTGTTGCGTTTCTTGGCTCTAATTTAAGTTGTCCTACTTCCCATCATGCCTCAGGGCTTTAGTGGAATCAGAGCCAACAATGTACTTTCTTAGATGTTGCTTTTGTAACTTCATCACTCTCGCATGGGGACGTTTTAGGAAGTTTACAGTAGCATGGTGCTGAGGTTGGTAAAGATTACACATAATTTAAAGAGTCTCCTAAAAAATAGTATACTACTTACAACCCCTTTTAGTGTTAATGTCAGTGATAGTATATGATGAAAGTCAGCCAAGTGTTTACAGGTAGACCACTGCATGGATTGTTCCAGCTTTAAAAAAAAAAAAAAAGGTGCATGAGCAGTAATGTTTGTGCTCAAAAGAACATTTATTACAGATGCGGCATTACACAAGCTTCCTGTGCCCACATGAATCCAGGTGTGCACTTTCTGATGGACATTAAGACAGCATTATAAGACAGCACTATGATAGTAGGCTAATAGTAATGCGTAGTATGACTATTTGACACCATACAGGATTGTGTTTTGATAACCTGATGAACAGCATGGAGGAAGCCACAGCTCAAGTTGAAAAGCATCATGCGGGTTTTGCTGGTATCTAATCAGTTGAACCTATTTTGAAAATACTGTCCAGTTTTGATTTAACATTTCATGGAAAAAAAACAAAACTTTAATTTGCATCCATATAAAACATTTAAATCCCACCTTAATATCTGTCAGAGATTCTATTTGTGAGAAAAGAAAAATTTCATTTTCACAGCTTTTTCTCCACCCAGGCCACAGACAATCAGCTGAAGATCAACAACTATAAACAATAAAGCAAGTTCCATGAACAATTAATGCCACTGTGATACTTTTTATTTAGCACAACAAGATTGTGGTGTCATATCCATGCAAAACAGTTATTCAATACAAAACGATGGCTCTGTGCAGTGTCACTTTCCATGTATTAGGGCATAGGGCCTCCATCACAAGAGCCTGAAAATCATGCCCAATGTTTTTCTTAGCCATACCCGTTTTACAACTTGAAGTGGTGTAACCACGGGAATATTAGAGATATATTAGAAATATCCCTTAACTTTCCCCTTAATTCCCAAATTGGAAGCTGCAAAAACCAGAAGACAACTTGCCAGAGGACAACTTCAGCATCCAAACATAACCTGCTCATGAGCATATGAATATTCTATGCATCAAAGTAGGGTTAGGATTAACTCTTTGGTATACACTGAGAGGCATGTAAATACAAAGGACCACACGTTAAAAGAGATCTTAAATGTGTCTGACTGTGTGTTTAGACCTTCTCATTCTGGGCGCTCCCGCTCAGCCTGTGAAAGCAGAGTCTGGATCAGGCTTAAGTGTCTCAACACCTAAACGTTCTTCCACTCCGTTGCCTGGCAGCTCAGCTGTCGAACCTCCTCATTCTCCTCCATCTGATTTCCTCAGCTCTCGCCTCGTCTGAGAGGTTGAAACCATAAGGGGGAGGAGCTCCTCTCCTGCTGCTTTGTCCTACAAAACAAAATAGTATTAGATGTACATACTTTAGGCACTTAGCTGACTTGGGTGACTTTAAACATGGTATAGATTTTAGGATTCAGTGTCAATCCAGTCACCCTCCATTCATCAACACTCTCTCTCTCCTCTCTTACTACCGTCATTCAGACTGTTTCTGATGGCTGTCTCTAACTGCTCCTCCTCTGTCAGTCCACCTGAATAAGATGCTGAACGATTTGTGGTGTAATCTGGTGCATGCTGATGGTATCCTGAGTATCCTCCACCAGTGCCACTGTAGCCTGCACGCACACACGCACACACACACACACGCACACACGCACACACGCACACACGCACACACGCACACACACACACACACACACACACACACACACACACACACACACACACACACACACACACACAAACACACACAGAGGGTGTAAGTACAGAAATAGAAATAACATTCTTCTTATTGTCCACGAAAAGACAAAAACCAATTTACTTAGTCAGTTGTTTTGAAAAAGGTTCACTAAAAACAGCTGGGCAGTGTAGTTTACAGTAAACAGTGCATTTGTTGGCAGCTATTTTCCCTGCTCCAGTAAGTATTTACAGCAGCAGGACGGTGTTAAAAGTAAACTTTGTGTGTTCATGGTAATGAAGGAACATGTCATCCAATAAAACAATGTCTCTTACTGATTTCTTTGATGATAAGGTATATCAGGCATTAGATACAAAAATAGTACCTGTTAGTAGGATCTGCTCAGTGTTGATTTTCAGCTTATACACTGTTTATAAAATGACTTTCCTTGAAAACTTTGGTACCTGAAAAGCCTGAAGAGTTGTAGTTTGCACCGGGCCGGGAGTTATATCCATTCGATGTCACAATCTCTGGTGAAAATATATACAAACAGACTATTTCAGTTCAGGAAAACGGTTGTTAAGGTGCATTTTGATTTGTGTATGGATTAATAATGAGGCACACAGATGTATTTCAGAGCCGTCTACAGTATTTACAGTACATTTAAATCACAATAAAAATACAAAAGAATGACATTTCAAGGCTTCAGGAATTTTTTCAGTGAAAACTATATCTTTAGACTAGGGATCGACCGATTATCGGCCTGGCCGTAATATTCAGCATTTTCTGATTATCGGTATCGTTATGTTTTTTTTAACTGATAACATAAAATATCTCTGAGTAAATGTGTTACTGTGTTACATTTTAAAAGTGTAATTGTGTGTAACTGTGTTACAATTAAAGAGCATCTGTAGGTTACCAGATGAATCAGTTCCCAGGTGAGAACAGGACCAAAATCAACCAATTCCAGTCAGGCTTTTTGCAGCCTGTGTATACACCTGATAATTACTAATGTACACTCAGTTGCTGGTATATTAGGAACATCTAACTAAAACCAATGTAGTCAAATACAACAGTCCTGCTGTAAATCCTCCTGCATTGAGGTTATAGTGTTCAGTTTTCATTAAAATTGTTTAAGACAGCTGTTGATTTTCATTGTGGAGGATGTAGTGTGTGGAGCTGTATTACATTATACAGAGGCGTTTCTGTTATTTAGCCTACATTCATTGATATAAATGGGGTGCACAAATAATAGAAACACCTGGACACTCTGGTGAGTGTCCTTATATAGCAGTTGTCTTGTCTTGGCACACACACACACACACACACACACACACACACACACACACACACACACACATAAATTCAGACCTGCACATCTCTTCATGATGGTCTTCAGTGGTCCAGACGTGTAGAGCAGACCCACCAGGATACCTGACAGGTGACCAACGAAAGAGGTCCTGAAGAAGCAAAACACATGTTAACTCCTAACTAATGAAACACTGCCATCTTGTGGACACTTTCATTCATAGCATCAGAGAGCACATACTATCAGGACTACTTGAGCGGGAAGTTTCCAAAGTTCAGACACAGGCGAGGAGGATTTTACTGGCTGTCTGAAGGATGTGTTGATTGTATGAGGTGACCTGAGACCAACTTCCTTAAGTATATACATGTGAACATGTGCTGACAACATTATGTAGCTGCCTCTTATTCTGGATAGTTAGGAAGCAGCTGTCTTTATGAACATGATGTTGTGACTACCCTTCAGTTCAGTTCACTTATCTGTGCTGCTGACAAATACAGATCCTGATCAAAAGCACCTTTTACTACCACATTGCTCATGGACCACTGTAGTCCCTGTCACCTGCTGTTTCCTAAAGAATGTTATAAATATCTTCTTAGTGTTTTTTTTACATTTACCTGCAGTCCTGATCTGTCTCTCTGGTCTATAAAATCTATTAATGCTCAAAGGACAATCTACCGAAAAAAGAAGAAGGTTTAACGGTAACTTTGTTGTTTTTGTTTGTTTTTCAAAGATCTAAATCAGCTGCTGTGGCCCATGCCTGCATCCTCTGATTAAAATGTTTAGGAACTGTAGCAGTGTATACAGCAGGCATGTTATACTATAGCACATCTATAGATATCAAGTTAAAAGTCATATCCTCTCAATCAGTCCTTTAAGCTGGGGCCATCCCACTGAAAACAGAAGCATTAACCCTGGCAGTGCTCACACCCCGCTACATCCATCACACTGGTATCTCTACAGCATATCTGGGAGGTGAATCAAAAATCCTGGTGAATTTATTATGCAAAGTTGTGATGGGAAACTCACCCAGGTGATGTTATGTGGATCAGCACTAGCTCCACCCAGCTAGCATACTGATTTGACACAGGGATACCCATCACATTGGTCACACCTCCAGGGTGGTAGTGGTTATTGAGCACCTTCAGAGCAAACAGGACACCTAGAAACACAGTCATATTAGCAAAGTTCAATAAATAGGGGGAAAAGTTGCCATTCAAACCAGCAGTAGGTTGGGTGGTGATGACATACAATATATGTTTCTTTAAAATGCTGTTGTTCAATAATTTTTTATGGTTTATTCCCATTTGTACCAGTAGAATCACTTTAGTCCAACCTTTCATACCAATTACACCATAAGTGACCTTAGAGTAGTGTATACCTGAGAAGCCAACAGCACAGGTCATGCTGTAGGACTGGTCCTGGGTGAGTTGTGTTAACGCTGCCTCCAACACCAGATAGACTAATCCAGTGAGCAGAGAGAAGACTGACAGCAGGTAGACGAACCAGGCTCCACCCAGCCGCTGCTCAAGCCTGATTCCTTTCCAGAGGAAGGACACCATGTTGAAATAGAGGTGCCAGTCATCCATATGATGCAGTGGGGACAGCACAAGACGACGCCAATCATTAAACCAATATGCCTGCTGGACACTCACACAGGCCTAAGGATCGGATAGATAGTAGAACTCATATTAGTACTAATAATATCACCTTAATATAGTACAAAGCAACAGTGCATGTCATTCCTGAAAGGTGGTCCAGGTGCTGCATTACCTGCATCAGTGGAGCTGCAGGGAACATGTAAAGATACACATTGAGAGCCAGGACAGCCAGGGTGACAGGTGGGATGTTGTCCAGACCGACCTGAAACACCTGGGAGGCTAGGAGCAACAATCCCAGCTGGGAGGCCCTTTGTCGAGTCCGCATACTAAAAAAACAGCCTGCAGAGAGACAAATGTGAGGTTATTTTCACTTCTGCTCTACCACAAAATTAATGATGGAAGGAGACATGAGACAGAGTTGTTGTGCCATCTTATCACTGGGAGGAACCGCGCTTTTTTAGGACAGAAATTTCTGGGTGTTCCAGAGAAACAGAAACCTGACTTTCATGCTTCTGCTGTTGATGCTCCTCAACTCTGAAACAGCTACTCATAAAGCCTCAGAGAAGACAAACCTTTAAAAAGCTACTTAAAAGCCACTTGTTGCCTTTGAGTTTATACTTAATTTTGTGGTTTACTCTTCTTGTTTTTATATATAATTATTCTTTGTCTTTTATTTGCCTTTTTCTCTTTTTATCCCTCCGTAAAGCAGCTGTAATATTTGTCTAGTAAAGAGCTATATGAACACAGTTTGCTTGCTTGGTTTCTAGAGTAGACCAAACAAAAACGATGAGTTGGATTTACTGAGAGTCCCACGCACAAGTGTTAGTCTGATTATCTGTGCAGTAATCGACCTAAATCTGTAAATTTATGTCATCAGGTCAAAGTTTTCAGCAGCAGCATTAGTGGCTTCAAATAAACTTACTGTCAGTTCAGTCCTCTTCCTCTTCCTCGTTCTCTGGTGCTCTGGCTATTGCTAATGCTAATGCTAGCCTTAATATTAATTTTCACCCCGTTGGCAGCTCGAGTCCGCTTTTAAAGGATTTAACGCCGACAGACGAACTTAAATGTCCATTAAATAACGTTACGCCCCGGTCACAAGTCAGCAGAGTGTATTTCTTAACATTTCATCATTTCTAAGTTACTAGACATTACTTGGCAACAGGTCGTGGCGTCACGTCAGCTGTCATGTGACAATAACAAAGCTACGTAGATGCCGCATGCGCAGAATGGATCTGTTTCCCTCACGTCAGTCTGTCTGACTTCTGCCATCAGCTGATCAAACATCTACTGCTCTGCCAACTACCGCCGTGTTTCAGTATAATCTACTCGTGCTCCTCTACCTCTGCATTTCCTCCACTATGGCCTGTCTCTCTGCGATACATTTCCTGCAAATAACAAGCACGTTTTCATGGTTTCTGATTCGTTTACAATAATGTGAAGTGTGCTGTTCAGGTACCAAACTTTATAGTATATACACTACTACAGTTTTGTCCATTTCCATATAAACCCCCGTCTCTACCACTGCTTGGTTTTTTCCATAGCCTATAAGTGCTTTCCAAAACAATGCCATGAGTATTTTTTATTAGTTAAATAACCTCATTCAAAGTGCTTGTGGAGCTGAGTGTTGGTGTGAATCCGGATCGTCAAAAAACCCAAAATCAAATCTATATTTGAAGTGCCCACCCATTGCCTTTAAAAGAGGACAAATTGTCTTAGTTACATTTGGGCACAGGACTGCTCCAGTCATATTGGAGAATTTGCCGCAGTTTGGGCGGTCGCTGTGTCCGTTTTCTCCCCCTCTCTCCAGCTGGAGGCTGAAGCAACCACAGAATGTAATCTTTCATCCATAAGGTGGAACCATTAACCTTGACTAACAACCTTGTTACTCAGAGATGGCACAGTTACATTTATGACTGGATCTGTTGTTTGGAAATGAATAATCATGTACATGGTACTGTGCAAAAGTTTCATAGGATGACATGAATAGTTTTTTATTTAACAATTACCTTCATATAAAGTGCAGTAAACAAAAAACCTAAATCAAATCAATACTTGATGTGATCATCTGTCACTACTTTAAAACAGCACAAGTTCTCCTTGGTACACCAGCACACAGTTTTTCAGGTAGGCCTATTTGGTTGTTCCAAGCATCTTGCTACAGTGGTTCTGTGGATTTAGACTGTCTTGGTGTCTTCTGTCTCTTCATGTAATAAGGTAAGGGCTCTGTGGGGACCAGACACCCTGTTAATAGTTCTTTATAACTGTATGTTTGGGGTCATTGTCCTGCTGTAGAATTAATCTGGATTGATCAGATGCCTCCCTAACATGATGGTTAAGAATACAAATATCTAAAGTGCAGAGAACGTTTGTACAGTACTGTGCACATACACATACATGAAGTGGAAAAGTTAGAAACAACACCAAAAAGTTGAATAAAAATATTAATTTTGGCAGTTTTCTGCCCTCTGGTGGTCACAGTGAGAACTACAACACTGCATTAACAAATAACATGGCTGATTCCAGGGGTCTATTCAGAAAGCAGGTTTAACAAACTCTGGACTCAGAATCTAACCTTGAACCCTGAACCCCTAAACCTGCTTCATGGAATAGACCCCAGACGTTGCAGCATGAAGAAAAAATCACGTGGATCATTGCTGAAAGAGCTGTCTTCAAATGCTATACCATTTATTGTTTGATGCAGATAGACCAAGTATAAACAGAGATAAAATGATGTGAATTTTAGATTAAAATATTTTTTACGTGTGCGCATAAAAATATGCAAAATGTATTGCATTTATATTTGCTGTTAAGATTGTTCTGATAATACATCTGCCACTATTGGCTCCACTGCCCTCCAGTGGCAACAGTGAGGAACTACAGCACTATATAAACAAAATCCTTATTAATATCAATATATAATATATATCATTATTAGTGTGGCTAATAATAGTAATAACAGTAACAGTGTAGTTAGTAAAATCTGTATTGATAAAGATGTGCTTCAACAACAGCTTACCTGTCTAGACCATGTTATAATGTGTCATAATGTTGGTAGGGTTGACTGTTGACATGAAATTGAGTGTTTACTGCCCTGCAGGATTCTAAATAAATCCAATTACCACAATGACACAATAAAAAATTAATTCACAGAGCTCATCATAAAAATATGATATAAACAACTCGGAGATGTTTATTGTTATTATTAGTTGGAGGTATTAATGGCATATTTATAAACATGTTAGTTTTGATGTTAAAATACAACATTAGAAGAAAAAAACATACAAAAAGCATAAGTGTTAGCATAGCATGGTATCTGCCTTTACACTGATGATGCTGATGGCTGACATGACCGTAATCCTACCCATGATCATAGAAAGAAACAGCAAGAAGATTCATGGCTAACAAACATTGTTAACATTAGCGCAGTCATTAATATCGATACGCTTAAGTATTTATGCGTGTATTATATAAAGACACACTGATTTTGTAAAAAAATTAGGAATTAAGTTTTTTTAACAAAACTTTTGGTCCAGAGATCCTCACATCATATAAATTGTGTGTTTACTGCCCTTCAGTGGTCACAGTGAGGACCTACATCAAGACAAAATACATCAAGTAAGATCTGACAACATACGTTTTCTGTAGATAGTTCCAGAATAAATGTGACTTCGCTGAAGCAAAGGAAAATTCAACAAAGGGTCATGAAATGACAGAGAGATGTGGTAATATTGTGGAGTGAAGTAAATGTGACTTTATTTTTGACAGGTTGAAATCCAGTCAGCTGAAATTTATTAATATTATTATTTTTTCTCTTTACCTTTTGCATGGGAACACCGCTTTATTCACGGTCTAAAATAGTTAATTCACTAATTTCTCTTTTAGCAATTAAAGCTGTAATGGTCGGTTTCCTGCACATGATTTACAGAGGAAAGGGTTAAACCTCCGCTTTAAGCATGCTTGAATAGTCTTTGGCATCAATTACAAACACGTGCGCTAGGTGTAGCACACCGTTTCTCAATGAATTATTCAGGTGATCCACACCGGAATCACCTTTCTCTTTTCACAAATTGAAGCCTCAGGCGGTTGTAAGACTCTTGTTTGCAACCGACTCCAGCAGTTCCGGTGTTATTCAGATTAAAAAACTGCACTTTGTTCAGTGATGTTCATTTCTGTCTCTCTCCCGCCTCCAATCATCACGAACCGGGGCTGGTGGAGAGGCTGTTGCTATAGTAACAGCGGTACGGCAGATACAGGTGACGACGTTTCGTCAAAATAACGAGAATAACCTAGATCACCGGAAAACCAAGCGTTGTCACTTCAAAATAAAAGAGAAGAAGTAGAACCGAAACATCTGTTGAACTGACATGGCCACAGAGAATAATGTGACAGTTTGTAGTCAAAAATGATAGACATCATACATTGCTCTTAGCAGAACACGTGTGAGAAAGGGAACAGTGTTAAACTGAAGTGAACGGTGAACAGCACATAGTGAATATAAAAATGTGTCAGGCTAAATGAACATTTTTATGAATGGATAGGGGGTAGCCTTTTCAAATGGTACCAGTCAATGAAATGTTATTGAAATCATATTCGATGATTTAAGCGCACACATTAAACACAAAAATAATCACGGTGTCGATATAACTCTTATTTTGAAATCAGAAAGCGGAAGTGTAATTTTTTTTATGTAATGTGTAACTTTGCAGCGAAGCAGGAGCGGGAGAGAGGAAGCCGAGGCAGGTAAAGGTGTGTGTGTTTGTCTGTTTATGAATGTGGGGGAGAAAGGAAGGGGTGACGGCGTGAAGAGGAGGTCCAGAGGGGTGAAAGGAGGACAAAGGACCGGACGGAGAGGAGGAAGAGCTGGAGAGAGAGACGGGATAAGAAAAGAGGGAAGGATGTCGGAGAGGATAGCTTCGTGTGGGAGCCTGTATGACAGCACCAACCTGCTGCTACAGTACTGCAACAACGGTGAGCTGCTTCTCATCTCACTTCATCAGACACAACAGAAAAATGAGCCCCAGCTCCTTCCAGCCAGACAGTCCCAGTGCTCTCATCTCAGTCACAAATGTCTAGACAGACTTTGCATTTATTCATTAGGCGCCCTGAAAATGTGTTTAGATAGATGCAATTAAATTAACCCATTAATGTAGCCTGTTGACAATACTAATTATTCGATGGAACGAAAAATATTCCCCAGCTTATTCACCTAAAATATTCAGTGACTGTGCAAATTAGCCTGATTGGCTGCGTCATATATGAATGCCATTTTGTCATCTCAGATTTCTCAGAGCTTTTTTTTTTTTTTTTTTGTAAATCTTTTATCTACCTTAATTTTATCGATAATTTTTTGGTTTGTTTTCACCGCTTTTAGGCTCACTACCTTTGGAAAGTATATAAAAATATTAACAATGTGTCGCCATTTTAGTTTTTATTATTTTATATTAAGTCCGTATTTTAAATTTAAAAACAAACATGTCTCTGCCAAATGTGTTTGAATGGGACTTTTTCCGGACAGACTGACTTTAGGTCAAACTATTTCCGTTATTCAATTATATTTCAAATGATGTTTTTTCACTCTTTTTTTTTTGTTCCTCTTGCATTTTCTACCCATTGCATTAAATGAGAAATGAGTTTTAACACTTGCAGCGTTTTGCTGTCTTATGGTCTGACAGCAGTGTTTTTTAGGATTAGACAGTGAAATGTAGAAGAAATTAGGCTGATATCTTCCTTTTTATTGAGATATCAGGTGACTAAAGTTCCTCACAGGCCAAAACGCTCTCTAGAAAACACTACTCACTCATCAACTAGGTAGAGGGATGGTGATTACAAATTGCCAGCTTTAATCTATGAACATGATTCATTTCCGTATTTGAATACATGATGATCCACGATGGCCATTTGCGTCTCCTCTCGCTCCTGCAGCCTTATGTCTCTTTATCTTTCACATCCTGCTTTACAAATATAATGCAAATGCAAGCCTCATATCTGGGGTGACTGTTTTTTTTTTTAAAAAGAGCGTCTCTGTCAACTGAACAAGGTAGTGATGGTTTCTCCAGTTGTTTCAAGCAAGGTAGACGCCATGTTTCTCTGTGTGTAACACAGTGTAAATATCATTAAGAGTTGTAAATGCGTGTAAACTGATGTTGTTATCTGAGAGAGCTGTCTGTGGACTGACTCACCGTCCCTGCAGTCTACTAAACTTCACAGACAGCCATATTGAGCGGCAGGTGGAGAGACAGCAAGGGGTCATGGGAATTTAATCAATGCTGTGGTGTTGGTGATCCAAGATGTAACATGTGCCATTCAAAGCATTTGGTGGGTGTTGTGGTCCAAAGCCTCCTGCAGCTCCACAGGTCACAACGATTTCAGTTAAACTGTGAGACAGATGCACAGGCTCTGCCCAACAAGCATCTCAGGAGCTGAGCTCATGTGAGAGAATAATGCAAAATAAAAATGTTGTGTGAAAAATGTCAGACGTAGGTCAAAGGAAGAGCTTGCGAGGGACAGCTGGTCCTGTAGTGAGGGATCAGCTGCTTAAGCTGACTGTTTTTTGTCCAGCGTAGGATGACGTTTTATTTTTTAAATCAGTGAGGCAATTTATTAAATTCAGAATAACAGTATTAAAGTATATATTCCAAGCAATTACCAAAGCGCTTTTAAGTACTAGTACTTTTAATTTACTTTGGTTATTTCTATGTCGTGGAAGTGACACGTTCCTATTTATTAGACAATTTAATTGAAGGACATTTCTGCCATGAATTAAACCTAAATTACACCTGCAGATATGGAGCAGGAGAGAGAGACAGGTTCTTGTACAGTAACTCTGATCCCTCTGACACACATGTAGAGTAATTAGGTGTGGGTAGCTGTGTTTCTGAACACCAAATGTTCTCTCAAAGAGAGAAAGATGAGGAAAATCCTCAGAAACGAAGATGTTTTTATTTATCCTCATTTCTGCACGGGTTCAGCTGCGATTTGGGGCTTATTTTTGAGTTGATCAAAGGTCCTTACAAGTGTAGGAAAACGGGTCTGAATGTGATTGCTGGTGAGCTGTAGGCGCAAAAAACTTACGTCTTAAACTATGACACAAGAATAAGAAACAGTTCAAACGGTGATAGGTGCTGAAATTGATGCTGAAAATAGGCCTTTGTGAAGTGTTAACAAGACCTGAGAATACCATGAAGTCAGACAGGCAGACGGTGAAGAGGTGTTGGACTGTGCTGCAGCTGATGCAAACAACATAACAGAGTTGATCCTGTTTGTATTCGGAAGGTGTCGTCTTGTCTTGCACGTTGATCTCTGCTGTGCAGCATCTGCCAAGTGAGCCTCAATCAGCTAACTTCTTTCTGTCTTTTTTTTTTTTTTTATGTCTGTCTGTCCATCAGCCTCCTGTCTTTCCTTTTCTTTCAGTTTGTCTGTCTCTTCTTCTTCCTCTACCATCTGTCCTCTAACTGTAACCAGAGATCGTCTATGTTCATCAGATCTGCTCTCCTCGGCCACCTGGTCACATCTCGAGCCAAACACAGTTTACACACACCCATTACAGTTTTTATAGTTTTATTGTACTGAGGTTCACGGTTGGTGTTCTGTGTCACCGAGGGCAATATAATGAGTTAGTTTAGCTTCTCTAGTGCTGACAGCCTTCATGGCTTTATCCAAATGATGTCACTGAGGTAAACTCTACCCACCTGGGACGCCAGGCAGCTTAAAACAAATGCTAAGGATTTGTTCAACAGACTTTTGAATATTTTTTTTTACTCCTTCCTCATTGCCCTTGGAATTAAATTTTAATTAATACATTTTTATACAGTAGGAAACTGAACTCTAAATTAATACTTTTACAATCACTTAAATGACTTAAATCTGCACCATGCAAAACTACACACCGCAACTCCAAATGGCAGGAAGGAGTAACTGTCAGAGCCCACACATTAAGCCTCAGTAAACTGCACTCAGACCTGTTGTCGAGAGGTTCAGCTGCTGTTGGCGTGTCCATCTTACTATATACAGTTCTGTATGTAGGTACAGCCATGAACACAGCGCACAGTGACATCAGGAACACAGTTTAAAGAGATGGTGTGCAACCTGCACGGTACCATACGTGCATTCTGTTAGCAGTGCAAAGTACAGTGTGTTCTTTCAGCTGTAGACTGAAATGACTGATGATTGAATCAGTGGAGTGTAGCAGCAATAAGAGCTGTCAGTCATGGTACATTGTACGGCTGCACAGCCCTGTGATTTACCAACTTTGTTTACTGTGGACGAAAAGAAAAAAAATTCCATCTTTGATTTTGCTTCAGTGTCTTGCTACAGTCTGGTGAAAATTGTATCTCCAAGGTGTTCTATTTAGTCCTTCAGTTCAAGTTAAAGGATAAGGCTGGGCACACTTTCCTTTTCCAGCCCCATTATATGATTCACTTTGGTAAGATTGGTGTATTTCAGTATTTAAATGTCATTTAGTGTCACTGTAGTCATTCTGTATTTTTCATATTGTCAAAAAAAAGACTAACGCCAACAATGTATTGGTCACTCAGTGATTCCCGTGCAATTCCCAATAAAGCTGCTCTCATTTGCATGTTTTTGTGTTTCTGCTGTTAGACGACAGGGCAAGGATGACACAGTGACTGAAATGAGGCCCATTGAGACTATATGTCAACTTCCAAGTCATTTCCAAGCTGCTCCTCTGCTGTTAAAATCCTGAGTTTAAAACTGTCCGACCAAATCACCAAACACATGAATTAAAAACAAAGACTGCGATGGGTTTTCGCTTTTATTTACTTGTAAAATAATCGCTCAGAGAGAAAATCAGAAGTGACATAAAATTTTTCTTATTCTGTCTCACAGCCACCGTCTGGGATCCACATTTGTAATGACTGTATTTCCTCAAAAAGTGACCCGGGCCTTTATCTACCTCAACTGCTGAAGGTAACAGGCCTGTATTAGAGGCAGGCGAAGAGGTGTAGCTCTAAGTCCCCGGTTGGCATCCATACACAATCCGCACGATATACCGTGTTTATACCCAGTCTGTTTGGAAAAAAAGTCTCTAAATCTGGCGACAAATTCGCTTAGTTGGCCCCTTAATAGAACCTATTTGTACCAATTCATTTTGGAAGCGCAACGGCCAATGGAGAAACTCCAACGTGGCATTCCGCTGACCAACGGTGGAAATATGATCAGTCAGTCAGGGACATTCGCAGTTATAGGGCAGGCCCCGCAGCTGTGGTCCAGCCAATCATTAATGTTTGTGTGTTTTTAATGGTTAGAAGAGAACAGTGGAGCTCTGTGGCAGAGTTTTTACATTTTCACATAACAGCCTGTTATGTGAAAATGTAAATATCTGAATATCTGTAACGGGACAGTCGGTATCACCTTCATCTTTTGTGTGTGTGTGTGTGTGTGTGTCATTGATCCTGGAGTGTGGCTCTGCAGCATCTCTTCCTGGTGGTGCCTGGCTGTACAGATGCTGATGCTGCTGCAGTGAGTGTGTGTGGCTGGCCCTAAGCCAGGCTCCACCCCTTCTGGGTCGGTTCTGTCTGCCCATGGCTGATGAGACAGGAGGAGGAGGGAGACGAGGGATGAAAGTGAAGGAGTGGACGAAAAGGAGGAGGAGGGGATGGAGGGAGGAAGAGGGAGTGGTCCAGGAAGCGAGGGAGTTTGTAGGAAGTGGATATGGAGGAGGGAGTGGTTCAGCAGGAGAGGATGGGAGATGAGAGTTTGTGTGTGTGTGTGAGAGACTGTGTGCGTGTGTAAAAGAGAGAGAGTGATCGACCGCTGGCCACAGACAGGAGGGGGGAGGGAGTCCGAGTCAGAAAGCCTCCAGGGGAGAAAGAGTGAGAGCAAGTGGACAACCTGACTGAGCGTTTACTCTGTGGACTGACTGGTTGATTGACGGGAGGAGTGACCAGGCACTCGGCGTGGCACGATGGCAGGTAGGTGAGACGAGCTCCACCTTCCTCATCACTTCACTG